TTTTTGTTTCAACTCGAAGCTTCAAAGTTAAAAAGCATTTGCAGGCTTGTCTCATACAACTAACATGAAGTCTGATTAGCTGTACACACTCTTACAGGGTATACTAAAATATGCAGTGTGCTTTAATCGTAGTATAGTATCATTATGTGAATGCTAGCCACATAATGCTGTCATTTTGTCAATAAAAAGTCATATAAAACTCACGCACAACTTGTGGCCGTGTGTGAGTGAGTGTGTGTGTAACTTGTACAGTTGAGAAAAGCAAACAAACAAGAAAAACGAAAACGAAAATCGCTTTTACTCGACTTCTTCTTTTTTTTGGGTAAATACAAGTATTTTGTGATGTGCCTGGACCAGCGTGCGTCATTTGACTGTTAAGTTCACTCTTAGATGCTTTCTATGTATCTATGGGTGAAGAAGGAGTCTCTCCTCCTACTATTTCCCTGCCCACGCGCTCTCTGTCTCTATTGGGGTAAGAGTGATAGGTATGCGAAGGAATGGGTAGGAAACTAGATAAAAGTTTTCTCATTTAAATGTTCCAAACAAAAGAGGGCGCTAGACAAACAGCAGCATCTCATCTGCTTTGTGCAAATCAAGTCAAAGCCAAAAAGTGTTAATGTAGTTGTAGGCAAACACTTAAACGCACACAGCCATAGATGCGCACGTACAGCAGACAAACACACACACACACACACACACACATTCACCGCTGATAAGAGAGAACAAAAATATGGAAACTTAATTGTAGTTGGTGTGCGTGAGCGCACTCGCGTGTGTGTGTGCGTGTGTGTGTGTGTGTCTATTTGTGTGTTGCCTGTTGTCTATATACGTGCTCGAATCCATTCATTTATTTAATATTTGTTTTTTGAGCTCTCTGGGAATTGCCAAAAACGTAGGCCAAATATGCTAGAAACTACCAAACAGAACGACCTCTAATTAAAACTATTAAAGCTGCTTATACATTGTTATATGTGTGTGTGTATGTGTGTGTGTGTGCCTTTGTGATATATTAATTAATTGGCAAAAATCTTGCGAGTTTCAAATGCGGCCTAATTATAAAACTCTTAACACATTCGTAATTGTGCATTCATTCAAGCATTCAGCCACAAATATAGAAATTGTAATTTAAAGGCAGAGGCATATGCTCGAATAAATAATTATTGTGCATCCAATGATCCGTTTCACACATTAACCAAGTTAAATAAGCAAATGTTTTCCTACAAAGTTGCCTATTAAATATTCTCAATTTGTGTGCAATGATCCATTTTATAGCTTAACCGAGTTAAAGTAGTGAACATTTTCACTTAAAATTGGCTGACAATGACAATGACAATGACAATGACAATGACAATGACAATGACAATGACAA